AATTTCATTTGTTCACTGCTGGCATATATATTTTAAAAAATGACTGTCATACATTAACCTTTTATACTGAAAACCTACTATAATTGCTTATTAATTCCTGGAATTTTTGTCAATTCTTTTGGATTTTCTACATAAATGATGATGATGTTATCTGTGATCAAAGACAGTTTTATTTCTGCCTACCCAATATGCATACCTTGTATTTCCTTTTCTTGTCTTATTGCAAGATCTAGGACTTCTAGTACAGCATTGTAAAACAGTGGTAAGAGGGAACATCATTGTCTTATTCCTGATGGAATAAGCTTTGTGTTTCTAATCATTTAATAAAATTAGCTGTTGGATTTTTGTTGATATTCTTTATCAAGTTGAGGAAATTCCTCTTTATTACTTAGTTTACTGAGAGTTTTAAATCACAAATAGGTGTGGATTTTTTTTCAAATGATTTTTCTGCATCTAATGATACTATTCTTCTTTGGTCTGTTGATGTAATAAATTACATTAATTTATTTCCAAATGTTGAACCAGCTTTGCATACCTATGATAAATCCCACTTGGTTGTGGTGTATAATTCTTTTTATATATTGTAGGTTTTTATTTGCTAATATTTTGTTGAGAATTTTTACATCCATGTTCATGAGAGTTATTGGTCTATAGTTTTCTTTCTTGGTAATGTCTTTGCCTGTTTTTTGTATTAGGATAATATTGGTCTCAGAGAATGAGTTATAAAGTATTCCCTCTACTTCTACCTTCTGAAAGAGATTGTAGAGAATTGGTATAATTTCTTCCTTAAATGTTTGGTAGAATTCGCCAGTGTACCCATATGGGGTGGTGCTTTCTGTTTTGGAAGGTTATTAATTTTTGATTCAATTTCTTTAAAACATACAGGAGTATTGATACTATTTCTTTTTGTGTGAGTTTTGGTAGATTGTCTTTGAAGGAATTGGTTTATTTTATCTAGGTTATCAAATCTGTGGGTATAGAGTTGTTCTCAGTATTTCTTTATTATCTTTTTAATGTCTGTTGACTCTTTAGTGGTGTCTGCTCTTTCATTTCTGATATTAGTAATCTGTGTCTCCTCTCTCTTTTTCTTATTGAGCCTGGATAGAAGCTTATTAAATTATTTATCTTTTCTAATAACCAGTTTTTGGTTTTGTTGATTTTCTCTATTGATTTTCTTTTCATTTTATTGATTTTGACTCTTTATTCTGTTTATTTTGTATTTAATTTGCTGTTTTCCTAGTTTCCTAAAGTGAAAGATCAGGTGATTGATTTTAGGTCTTCTTTATTTTCTAATATATGCATTTAATGCTATAAATTTCCCTCTAAGCATTGCTTTTGCTTCATCCTACAAATTTTGATTGGTATGTTCTTATTTTCTTTTAGTTCAAAGTATTTAAAATTTTCTCTTTAGATTTCTTCTTTTATGTATGTGTCGTTTGGAAGTATGCTGTTTAATCTCCAGGTATGTGGGTATTTTCTAACTATCTTCTTGTTTTTAATTTCTAGTTTAGTTTCATTGTGGTCTGAGAACAGAGATTATATGCTTTCTATTCTTTTAAATTTGTTTAGATGTGTTTTATGGGCTATAATGTGGTCCATCTTGGTGGATGTTCTATGTGACATTGAGAAGAATGTTTATTCTGCTTTTGTTGGATAAAGTGGTTTATAAATGTTCATTATATTCAGTTGAAAGATGGGTTGTTGAATTCAACTATGTTCTTACTGGTTTTCTGCCTGCTGGATCTGTCCATTTCTGATAGAAGGGTGTTGAAGTCTCCAACTACAAGAGTTAATTTAGCTATTTCTCCTTGCATTTCTATCAGTTGTTGCCTAACTTAGTTTGACACTGTTTTGTTAGGTACATACACATTAAATATTGCTATGTCTTCTTGGAGAATTGATCTCTTTATCAGTTTATACTTCCCCTCATTGTCTCTGATAACTTTCCTTGGTTTAAAGTCTCTGTCTGAAATTAGTAGCTATTTCTGCTTTCTTTTTATTAGTATTAGCATGGTATATCTTTCTTCACCCATTTACTTTTATTCTATATGTACCTTTATATTTAAAATGGGTTTCCTATTGACAACATATAATTGGGTCTTGTTTTTTGATCCTTTCGGACAATCTGTCTTGTAATTGGTATATTTACACCGTTGATGTTCCAAGTCATTATTAATATAGTTGGATTAATATCTGCCATATTTGTTACTGTTTTCTATTGGTTATTCTTGTTCTTTGTTCTTACTTTTGTCTTCCACTCTTTTTCTGCCTTTTGTGTTTTCTTTTTTTTTGTCCTTTTTGAGACTGGCCGCACTGCGCTCAGCCAGTGAGCCCTGTGAGCACACCGGCCATCCCTATATGGGATCCGAACCTGCGGCAGGAGCGCTGCTGTGCTCCCAGCGCTGCACTCTCTCGAGTATGCCATGGGCTCGGCCTGTGCCTTTTGTGTTTTTAACTGAGCATTTGATATGTTTCCATTTTCTCTCCTTTATCAGCATATCAGCTATTTTTTTTCCTTTACAGTGGTTGCCATAGAGTTTGCAATATACATTTACAACTAATCTAACTCCGCTTTCAAATAACACTATATTACTTCGTGTGTAGTATGAGTACCTCAAAATAATAAAATAATACTGACTCTTTCCTCCCATCCCTTGTATCATTGTTGTCACTTATTTCGTTTATATATTAGTATACATTAATATATATGAGTATATATAAATATATTGCTGTTAGTATTTTGAACTATTGTCTGTTAAATCAATCAATATAAAAAGGAAAAGTTTTTATTTTATCTTTACTTATTTCTTTTTTGATTCTCTTGCTTTCTCTATGTGGATCTGAGTTTCTAACCTTTATCATTTTCCTTCTCTCTAAAAGAATGTCTTTAACTGTCACTTATTTCGTTTATATATTAGTATACATTAATATATATGAGTATATATAAATATATTGCTGTTAGTATTTTGAACAAACTATTGTCTGTTAAATCAATCAATATAAAAAGGAAAAGTTTTTATTTTATCTTTACTTATTTCTTTTTTGATTCTCTTGCTTTTTCTATGTGGATCTGAGTTTCTAACCTTTATCATTTTCCTTCTCTCTAAAAGAATGTCTTTAACACTTCTTCCAAGGCAAATCTACTGGCAACAAATTTTCTCAATATTTGTTTGAGAATGCTTTTTTTTCCTTTTCAATTTTGAAGGATACTTTCATAGGGTACAGAATTATTTGTTAGTGCTTCCCCCCCCTCACACTTTAAATATTTTATTTCACTCTCTTCTTGCTTGCATGGTTTCTGAAAAGTTGAATGTAATTCTTATCTTTTCTCCTTTGTAGATAAGGTATTTTTTCCTTCTGGTTTCTTTCAGAATTTTTTCTTTATTTTTAATTCTCTGTAGTTTGAAAATTATATGCCTAGGTGTAGATTTGTGTGTGTGTGTGTGCGCGCACATGTGCGTGTGTGTGTGTGTGTGTGTGTGTGTGGCATTTATCCTGGTCAGTGTTCTCTTAGCTTCCCGGATCTGTGGATTTGTGTCTGACATTCATTTTGGGGAAATTCTCAGTCATTATTGTTTCATAAATTTCTTCTGTTCTCTCTTCTCCTTCTGGAATTTCCATTAGGCATATGTTGCACCTTTTGCAGCTGTTCCACTTTTTTTTTGATATTCTATTCTGTTCATTTCAGTCTTTGTTCTCTTTGCCTTTTAGTTTTGGCAGGCTTTATTGCTACATCCTCAAGCTCAGAGATTCTTTCCTCAACCATATCCAGTCTACTAATTAGCTCACAAAGGCATTCTTAATTTCTGTTACAGTGTTTTTGATCCCTTGCATTTATTTTTATTTTTCCTAAGATTTCTATCTCTCTCCTTACATTGCCTGTCTATTATTGCATGCTGTTTACTTTATTCATTAGTGACCCTAGCATTTTAATTATAATTATTTTAAATTTCTTGTCTGATAATTCCAATATTCCTGTCATATCTGAGTCTGATTCTGATGCTTGTCTGTCTCTTCAACCTATGTTTTTGCCTTTTAGTATGTCTTATACTTTTTTCTTGATAGACAGACCTGATTTACTGGGTACAATAAATAGCTGCAAATAGGCCTTTAGTAATGTAATGGTAAGGTTTGGGGAGAAGGGCAGTATTCTATAGTCCCATGATTAGGTCTCTGTCTTTTAGTGAGTCTGTACCTCTGGATTGTGATTTTTCACATGTGCCACTCAATCACCCCTCTCCCCTTTTGGGGGATAGATAGTTAAAGTGGGCTGCAGTTGGGTGTTTCCCTTCCCCAGGTCAGTTAGTCTCTGATAACCCCATCAGGTTAGGCTCTGGGTAACTAAGTATTTCCCAAGGGCAGACCTTCTTAAAAAGAACAAAGCAAATGGATTGTCATGGTTAGTCCGTCATCTATTACAAAACTTCTACAACAATGCTTCTCAAACTTCAATGTGCAAATGAATTACCTAACTTAAAGATCTTGGTAAAATTGTGATTCATGAGATTTAGTGTGGGGGCTGAGGTTTCACATTTCTAAAATCCTGGGCGATGCTAATGATGCTTGCCTGCAGACTACACTTTGAATATTAAGGTTCTACAGAATTTCCCCTAGAACAGCAATTCTCTGACTGTGCTCATCAGACTACCAGCAGCAGTATCACTTGGCAACTTGTTTGAAATACAAATTCTTGAGCCCTGTCTAGTCCTACTCAATCAAAAACTCCGGAAGTTGGGGTCCAGACATTTGTTTTTTCACAAGCCCTCCAGGTGATTCTGATGCATGCTAATGTCTGAACACCACTGTCTAAGAAGTATTTTCCAGCCAGATTAGAATCATCTGGGGAACTTAAAAAATCAGTCACTGGTATACATGCCATACCAATTAAATCAGACTTGCAGAATGTGGGACCATTTTTTAAAGGCATTTAAAAAAACTCTCCCCAGGTAATGACAATGTGCAGCCAGATTTGAGAACCGCTGCTTGAGAGACAGGCCCACTTCTTGAGTCTTTGCCAGCAAAATTCTGGGAGAGGTGAGCATGTCTGGGTCTGCTGGGCCAGCAGCTCTCCTCCTCCTCACTGTTGCTTTGCACCTGTAACCAAGAGTGCACAGAACTCAGTCAGAGACACAAGGAGGGGGGCAAGGAAAGGTGCAGGGTGGCAGGTAGCTGTAGGGTAAAGAGGCTGTGAGTACTTGAGAGACTTGGACTCTTCTCTTGTATCAGTGACCCAGTAGCAAGAAAAGCGAGACTGAGGTGCAGCTCTACATTCAGTGAAAAGGGATTTACATGAAAATAATATTTCAAATACTCACAGCATCTCTTTGTTGCCAGAATTTGAGAGCTCTTTCAAAAGATCCCAACACTTGGTGGCAGTACTGTTCATAGACCCAGGTGAGAGGAATCCTGAGTTTTAGGGGCTCCACATGATGAGAGCTGGTGGGCTTAGAGAATGTGCCCACCTGGATCCTACACTATCCCTTCTAGAACATGTTCTGGTTACCCATAATCACAAAATATGCTGGTCAAATGGACCTGAGTCAGCTGCAGGGAACTGCAGTGGTTTTGTCTGGTGTCTGCCCTCACCAGGGCTGGCCTCTCTACTAGTACGTGTACTCCTAGGCCTGACTGATGACTGGTGGATGGTTGTTTGTGTGTGATGGAGGTTGTGACATTTAAATATGCAGGCTGGGGTGCCTACACATGTGTGTGCAAGGTTTCTTATGGTGCAGGACAGATCTGGCCATGGGAAGAGCAGGGGGCAGGACAGAGGCTAGGAAGTGGCTCTGCCCACACTGCCATGTTCTACCATAGAAGTCCTAGGGGTCTGAGAATTCCAGACCGAAACCTGGACTTCTGGGTCTTTATGGTTACATATTTGTCAAGGTAGGAGAGAACATGTTTTATTTGAGTGTTTAACTTTGCATATAACTGTTCTCCATTTGTACTCTTATAAGGATCCCTCCAAATGATAAAGGCAGGCATTCTTGATGAGAACCTTGTATGGTTCTAAACGTTTCTGAACTTAATTCAAGAAATGGCATATCTGGTGAGGACAAGGAGCCTGGATCTCCTTTGCCCAAGGGTCCTAACACTCTATCCTCCAGGAAAGAATCCAGAGCTTTACTCTGCCAGCCTCTCCCTTACCTCCAAGCCACTCACCTCCTCCAAGTCAGAAGTGTCTGGCAGCTGCTGGGTTGGAGGTCGCTGCAGTTCTGGTCTGTCTACAGCCTGCTTCCATTTCTGCTGAATAATGGACAGGTCCAAAGACTTAACCTTCCTGCCCATGGGATTTTTCTGAAACAGGCTCTTTCTTGCTCTGGTCTTTCTTTTCCAGAAAGTCTCATCCTTGGCTGAATGGGCTTCCTTGTTGGTGGCCTGCAGACCCCACAGTTCTCTCCTTACCTGTGCAGGGTCTGCGCTCCACTGTGGATCTGCTCTGGGCAGAGAATGTGTACAACATGGTACATTGGGGTTAGAATCCAGAGTTTGCGGTGGTGCCAACACTGTGGACATCCCCTGGTGTGTTTCCTCTTTATAGCACAGGACACATGGACAGGGAGAAGTGGGCAGCTTTGTGCCCCCGATGGGAGGCACAGGATTTTCCTGTGGGCCTTTCCAAAACTCAGAGTCTTGCTGGAGGACCAACTTTTCTCCTTTCACTCTGTCCATCACTTCCCACACCACTTGGTCCATACTGTTCCTTGTGGAGGTGTTGTGGGGTGGTGATAGCTGATCTCGGGGGCATGTATATAGGCACATCTTGGAGATGGCTTTCCGGAGGCGCTCTCTAGGTGATTGGGGCTCAGGCTCTGGGGCCAGAATCCTGATGGATGGTACATCAGTTGGATCGCTCCAGAACATGCGGGATGGTATGAACTTTTGGACAGGTGTCTTAGACACATAGGAATACAGACAGAAGAAGGCATCAGCAGTGACAGCCAGTGTTTGCACCTGCTTAAACCTACCTGGGCACAAGAATTGAAAATGGTGAGTCTGGGGCTCATCAGCAAATTATCTTTTAAATCTCTCCTTTTAAAAACCTTTCCAAATCTCAAAATTCAGAGAAAAGCTGCCAGTTTCCTCACTAGTGTTTCTCCCAATTAGATTGCTAACACCAGGGTCCCCTTTCTTGACTTCTTGAATCCCCATTCCAAGTAGATATTCCAACTGGGAAATAGAGAACAGAGATAAGATTTAAAGACATTGTGCTCATTTGATTCAGCTAAAGGAGAAAAAGCCTAAAGGAAGCAACAGTCATCTGAGGTCTCTTGAAGACTATTTCTTCAAGAGAAGGAAACAGATGTCAAAGTTCTCCACCTTCACTGAAGATAACATAAAGGGAGACAGACACAAGAGACAAAGGGTCAGGTGAAGCTAACCAAGAGAAAGTAGAATTTGGAGCCATTGAGCCCTGTTGTGAAAGTCTGGAGGCTGGGGGAGAAGTGGAGCAGGGATCTGTGGTGACACTCACTGGCCAGCATGAGGCAGGGGTCCTCCATCTCAATCCTCCGCACCTGGGCCTTCAAGAAGAGCTGGAAATCAATGCCCTTGGCCTGAGAGGGGGTGGTGAAGAATCGGGCAGGGATACGAGAAGTGTCTTTATGTTCCTCTTGGCCAAAGCCCAGACTGAAGAGGACATCTTCTGCATCTTCTTGCACCTTGTCCAGAATCTCTGAGATGCTGAAAAGAGGAAGTCTGAGTAAATAGGAGACAACTTTGAGACATGTGGTAATCCAGAATATCTAGTAAAAGTTTCAGGAGACTGCAATTCCTTTCTGGCCATTTCTCTATGTTCCGCTGTGAGAAAAACTTTCACTTCTCTGTACCTAAATTCTCTCTATGTAAAACATGGGAGTTAAAATCCAGCCCTGAAAAAATATAAAAATAAATAAAAATAATAAAATCCAGCCCTGGTTATAAAAACTGAATGAAATTTTAGCACAGCATATTTGGACAACTTATTGCAGATGAATAAAATTTAATTAAAAATGAAAGCATTTTGAAAAATGAAAATCAGTATAGATCAAAAGAAATTTTGGGGTTGCACTATTAACTAGTCGGTTCCTACTTGCACATGGTGCTTTGCAACCTGACGCCCGACTTGTGCCAGTGGTTGTGTGTGACAACTAAGCAATGATTGTGTAAGGAACATATAACTCATTTTATTCTCACCTTGAAGGTAACAATTACTCAATAGGTATGTTCAAAACATGATTTTGAGAGGTATATCCCTTTCAAGTACTATTTAGCTCAGAAGCCCTGTGTCAAAGAAGATCCAGCTCTCTGTCTCTCTTTCTGTCTCTCTCTTGGTATGGCACCAACATGTATCTACATCCAAATCTGAGTACCACAAAGCTGGGTGACACTAGAACTCAATAACTGCAATCCCAACAATGGGGCAAAGGAGAGCTGTGAATTATTTGAGGCTTTGTATAACTACTGTCACTGTTTTCAGAAAGGATGCTGGGCTTTTTGATTCAAATTGGGACCATCTTGTTTAACTGATAGCTGGACACTTGGAATCCCTGGTTCTAGCCTTGAGCTTGCCAGCCAAGTGTTCATTTTATCCCCATGGTCCTTTTTCCTTATCTCTGAATTGTGGGCGTACAATTGGATCAGTGACTCTCAACCATGGCTGCATATTAGGATCCACGTGGGGGACTTTTAAAAATGCAAATACCTGAATCCCGTATCCAGACATTCTGATTTAATTGATCTGAGTTGTGGCTAGGGCTAAGGCTCAGTGAGGATAAATTATTAAACATAGTCCATGGCAAAAATGAAGTCTCAGAACCAGGTCCTGAATTCAAATTTTGACTCCAACTTTCAGACACTTTTCATTATACCATACTAGTTTTTATCACTTTCCATCTTGTCTTAGAGTTATTTGTGTGTATATCTTGTCCACCCTATTAGATTATTGAGCTCCTGGGGGCAAGCTCTTTGTCTGCTTTATCTTTTCAAATTCCATATGCTCATTACCTGGCCTACAGAGGGGTGTGTATATCTTGTCCACCCTATTAGATTATTGAGCTCCTGGGACAAGCTCTTTGTCTGCTTTATCTTTTCAAATTCCATATGCTCATTACCTGGCCTACAGAGGGGTACAAAATTGTCTGCATTAATTAATATTTTATTGCTACATTCAATCAACCAATTAGTTAATTAATCAAGACATTGTTTATTAAGCACCAACTATGAGTCCAGAAACTGTGATGGTGCCAATACCACACCTCCTGGGGTACAGGGTCAGTGGGAGGATATGCCTCTATTTTACACAGAGCATCCAGCTCTGAGAAGAAGATTGCTGTGCATCCCCTACTATTCTTGAAGAAATATGGCCACACTTCTCTAGTATGCATAAAAAGTGCATAAAAGCTCCAGTAGAATATCCCAGGAAAATATGAATAATGGCTCTCGGTTCTGTTCTCTTCTGCCTCTTGTCTTCCCTATCTGCCCACTCCTGCCAAACTCAGTACCTACCTTGAACTAGTCTTGTTGGTCCCATCAGTCATGCTGCTGGAAGCCAAACTACAGCCAAGATCAAGTAGATGGCAAGGCCTGGCTGTCTCTAGGAAGCTCCTGCAGAAATCAAAGCTGATGTCATACAAATTTTGTCACCAGTCTTCACCCTGGCTTCAAGGCATCCCCAGCTGCGCATATTCACCCCCTGCTGGGTACCTTTGAACCACTTGCTGAGGAAACTCAGTCTGTGTTCTCATTGCTAGTGAAAAATCTAACTCCCTATTGTGAATCCTTAGCTCTTTGTTTTTAATCTCTTCGACTCTGATACTTACCCCAGTTCACTGTCTTCGGAAGAAGGCCCCATCCAGCCTGGCTGAACCTAGCACTTACCTGGAGAAGAGTTTGCCATTGGTGGCCAGCAGTGTGGCTGCACAAGGAAAAGAAAGGGAAAGAGTAAGTTAGAAAAGAAAATAAAAATCACCTGAGTTGCTCCTCTGAACTTGAAACTCCAGGCCCCTCTGTTTTCCTCTGTCTGTACTACAGGCTAGCTGAACCCCATAAATTCCACTCTTAATCAGGTCTCAAGATTATCAGACACATCCTTGGAAGGGGGACAGATACAACAGAAAACAACTGGCCTTGAGCCTCTGAACTTTCAGCCCATGATGATGTCTAGGCGAGAGCCTCTGTCCCCTGAGGAGGATGGAGTCAGTCAGCCCCCCAGGCTAGTGTTCCTGCCCCAGCACCTGAGTCTACTCAGGTCATGGGAAACACTGCTAGGTTGCAGTGCCTGCATCCTTTGATATTGAAGCCTTTATCCTCCTGCAGTGCTGTCTTTCTCGTAAAACTGGTACTTAGGCTTCTTTGGGCTTTCTATATAGAAAACAGTCTCAAAGATGTCTGGGCAGCAAATGTTATGGTGATTTTATGTTATCTTCCCTGGGGCCAAAGGAAAGCTACAATGATGGACAAGTGGGAGTCATGATAGACTGGTAAGGAAGTGTTTCCGGGCATATGACACTTTCTGTATGTTATATTAGATCATAATGAGACGTTCTTTTCCTATAGATAAGAATCTAGGGATGAGCTGTTTCTTTCTGAAGGTTCCCCCTTCCATCCTGTCCTTAATTCATGGCCTCTTCCCTGTTTGCAATCTTAGAAATATTTGACACTTACCTTCTGCTCCGAGAGTTAAGTCATCTTCAAAGCTGGTCCCATGGCTGGAGCACCCTGTCAAATAATCAGGTGACGGGCACAGAAAATCAGTCTGGAACATGCACACATGTATGCATACACACACACACACACACACACACACACATAACTGCAAACATGAACATAAACACATGTCCTTAGATTTCGCACACATGTATGCATACACACACACACACACACACACATAACTGCAAACATGAACATAAACACATGTCCTTAGATTTGCACAATCACAAAATCATACTAGCTATCTACATGTTTGCAAACCTGCCCCCAGCTATACATATACTCATACATTCTCAGAAGTCAAATTCATGTTTTGATTCAGAAGGAATCACACATACACTCATACTTTGGGTTGAGTGTCCCCCCAAAACTTGACCCCCACTGTGACGGTGTTAAGAGGGTGGGAAATCCTATTATGGTGGGGCCTTGGGAAGGTGATTAGACTGTAGGACCATGCCATAGTGAATGGATTAAAAATGGTGGTGTTGGGCTTAGTTCTGAGGGCTTTAAAAGGAGCGTAAATGAGGAGGTTGGTCTCTCTGCTCCACCATTTTCACAATGTGCTACTCTGCCATCACTGTTGCCATCACCAAGGCTCTCACCAGATGTGTTCCCTGGACTTTGGACTTCCCAGCCTCAGAAACTGTATGCAAAAAATTTTGTTTTCTGGGCTGGCCCCGTGGCGCACTTGGGAGGGTGCGGCGCTGGGAGCGCGGCAGCGCTCCCGCCATGGGTTTGGATCCTATATAGGGATGACCGGTGCACTCACAGCTTCGGTGTGGCCGGTCTCAAAAAGGACAAAAAAAAAAAAAAATTTTGTTTTCTTACAAATCACCCAGTTCCAGATATTTTGTTATAAGCAACAGAAACAGACTGATACAAACATATAACTAACCTGCACCCTGTATCAGTCATGTACACAATCCCCTGCCAAATAGTAAACACATGGGGGTATGTACTCACACACATAAACACACACATTTTATAAAATTCTTTCCCCATAGCAGTGGTTGTTAGCTGAGCAACCACTAATAGAAGATAACCTCTGAGTATTAAGGAGCTTGTGGGCTCTGACTCAATACTTTCTTCTGGACCTTCTGGACAGCCTTGTGACCAATAAAGGGTGTTTTTCAGACAGTTTAAAGACACTCAGGCAGTCTTATGCATGCATATGCATGAGCATGTGTATAAACACTCACTAACACACACAGACACACACACACAAACACACACACACACACACATAGAGCTATATCAACATCTAGGTAGAAGAATAATGGAAGAACAGAGCCTCTACTCACCACTGTAGATTGCCTGTCCTGCTTCCTCAGAAAGTCCTTCCTCAGAGTATCTAAAACCCAAAAATAATCTTATAGGTTGAAGTCACTACATTTTCCAAGGGACTTTTCCTCAAATATCTCCCACATGTTCATATTATATTGCCATGGGAGTTGGTAGTATTTAATTTACTTCTATACTGGAGAAACTAAGAGTGGTTACTTGACTGAGAAATTCATAGTCAGGGGGAGTTGGGACTGAAATGCACTATAATTTAGATCATGCTGCCATTGTCCTGACCACATTGTTTAAAGTAAGCTTAGCAATGATTCTTCAGTCTTTAGGTAAAATAGAAAAGAAAAAATATAGAAGCAAAACTGGGGAAATACATTTATAGAAGCAGGGGTGTGGGTGACATAATTTCCAGATCACAAATACAAACATGGAGGTTTTCTTACAACTTTTAGGAGGTTGCCTTAACTACCCACACCCCACGCTTTCTCTCTGAATCATGCTCTTGCTGCATATCATGTCTTTCAGGAAATAGCAGAAACTGCATCCTCAGTTAGAGATATTTGTAGATTTTGAGATATGATCTTATCCCACATTTACCAACTCAACCAGAAGAACAAACGGAAATCAGCATAAACGGTAGTGAGAAACAACTCAGTTTGACAAACAAGGAAGAAATTCTCTCTGTCTAAAAACAGGTGGGTGAAGTAGTCTGTGAAAAAACTTTGAACTGGGACTAGTGCACCTGGATCCCAGTCCTAACTCGCTGTTGCTATGTTCTCATATATTATGTAAGGCAATTTGGATCCCTAGAAATTATCTTCTAAGTCTGCTTCAAACACTGATATGTTGTGAGTTTTGTAGAGTTTGCTTTCCTGAAAGTTTTAAAATAAAAGTTGCACATGATGCTTAGAATGTAATCTCAAGTGGAGGCTGGAGAGGAGAAGGATTGGTAAAGTGAATTAGCAGGGAAGCTGGAGTGCATCCACTGAAGTTAGTCCTAAAGGAGCCTTTCTCTTTATCCATCTCCAGCTATCCAATAACTCTCAGGCTGTTGGAGCATCACTTCATGAACTGTTTAACAATGGGAATGGGCTTACTAATTGAACAGCTGTAGATTAAGTTGTGCTTAAATTTTACAAAGTAAATCATTACAAATTTAGAAATCTTTTGCTGGTATATTTAGACATCTTTTGCTGGTACCTTCCTTTCAATAGCGAAAAAATCATCCATGTTTTCCAAAATCTAAATTTTATATGTCCTCATGAAAAACAACTACACATCAAAGTACATTATAAAATAATTTAGAAATCTTTTGCTGGTATCTTCCTTTCAATAGCGAAAAAATCATCCATGTTTTTCAAAATCTAAATTTTATATGTCCTCATGAAAAACAACTACACATCAAAGTACATTATAAAATTTGAAATCATACCCAAGCTACTTTAGAATGGACAACTCTAATAATACAACTGAAAGTACAAATATATACTTCTCTTCCTAATATGTAATTACATAAAATATGTTGTAATATAATAATATAAATGTGTTAATGTAGATAATATTAAAAATATTAATGGAAATTTACATTTACTATTACTACTAAAAATACTATGATAACTAATATAGTCAACTACTAGAATATTGCAATTTACTACTGCATTTAATGCTTGTGTTGTAGCTACACAGTAATGCAACTACTAAGGCCTACTATTATGAAAACTACAATTAAAACATATTACTATTTCATTTCTGGGTTGTACCCAGTGGAAATGCCTGTACATGTTCACCAAGAGGAAATAGTCATAATTACCCAGAAATAGAAGCCACCAAATCTTTATTTCTTGTAAAATGGAAAAAACCTGTATGATAACTATATAATTTAATACTGCATGATAATAAAAAGATGAGTAACTGCTGCACGCAAATACATACTCAAACATCACAAACATAATGCTAAGCAAAAGAAACACATATAAAATAGTACATATTGTATGATTCTATTTACATAAAGTTAGAAAAATCCAAAACGTATCTATGACGTTACAAGTCAGGGTATTAATTACCCATGGAGGCAGAGTAGTGAATGGAAGGAGACACAAAGAAGGTTTTTGGAATGCTGGTAATGCTCTGCTTCAGATTTCTAGAATGTATTCCTTTTACAAAAATTCATTGAGCTATATATTTAATACTCATTTATTTTTTATTAAGTATATTATACTTCAATACAATTTATATTAAAAAGAAAAATGTTACTGGTATGTATGCTATACTTCAATAAAATTTGCATTAAAAATACCACTGATAACATTCCTGGTTTGTCTAAAGTAAAACTCACTGTTTATTTTTATTATTATTATTATTATTATTATTTTTACGTCAAAAACTTATTTTTATTTTTATTTTTATTTTTATTATTATTTTTTTAAAATTTTATTTTGTCGATATACAATG